CCGACCCCCTTGGTCGGCTAGTTATCACACACACAGGCACTTGGGCGGCTGCATGTGAATAATATAAAATAAGTACATATATAAAATAATAATAATGTATATATATTATATTATATATATAATATATCTATATATAATATATATATATATCAGCGAGTGCATAAGTAGGGAACCTATTATCTACTTCTGCTAGATAATGAGTATATTATCGACGCAGCAATTCCCTCAACGATGAGTGGCTGGGACGGCTAGTTCATACATCAGTTGTCGTGAAAGTAAAGTTTATATACAGCGACACAACAGGAATCATGTAACAAGAGCCGCCAGATCGTCTGGGCTCATTCTGAGGTCTGTTGCCTACGATTATAAACGTTAAAGTTTCAGTCAAGCTGTGCGTAGTACCACATTTGTTAGGATCGCAGATATCAGAACACGCAGTTGCTACACATCATTGTGTAGACACGCCCCACTTATCGCAGATGGAGCGGTAGGGGCGAGGGTGAGGGAAGGGGCGGCGTGGGAAGTCGGGTGCCGGGGTAGGGGAGGGGGCGGGAGGGGGCTCTAATAGCAAAAGCAGTTCACTCCTTGTTAACAGTCAACAAATCCATGGGTTAACCCTTCCTCTTGAGAGGTCAAGAGGTTATGCCGACAGCTACTCTTCGCACTGTCAGCCAGAAGGGACATTTCCATGTGCCTTCAATAAAGCCATAAAAAATGCGAGTCCACCTGCTGAACAAAAAAGTTTTTCATCGGCTCGTCAGACCATGCCTCAAAAATGTCCTAAAATCTGCCCTGTGCCCAGTTACCTTTGAGGCCTGTGACTCCAATTTCAGCACAGTATGGCTTTTCCTACCATGATGCTATACACCGACTATCACGAGCCCTAGGTCGAGCCGTTATAGATTTCGCGCCGCAATTCTGCTATTTCCTCCCTTATAACCTTAAGTTAAAGAGACGGCTGAATGCTTCCCCCCTTTCTTTTCTACACCTCATTGCACCTTTGACCTTTGACCCCCAGCTTCGACATCCCAACTCTTTTGACGCATCCCCCCAAAGACTCGAGATATCGTGACCCGTACGTCGACGGCCGGTTAAGATTTGTAGCCCAATGATGACAGGACGGCTACGGCGGAACGACCGCGACGGACGACGACGGACGACGGCACGGTAATCACGATTCATAGCGATGTCTACAAGCTGCATCATGACTATGTAACTCGATCTAATAAAAGGTATTTGTTTGCGATGCGTTCATATTATTTCCGAGTCTTAACTGACTCTGTCCATAATGCCCGTGATCATTCCCAGTGTGATAACGCCCAACCAGAGGGCATCAGCGGACGCAAGTCGTGCTCTACCTACATAAAACGACTAGACATCACCGCGTATTCGGTGCGCGTTTATCCACAAATATAAGCGCACACGCGGCAGGTACACGTGCGTGCAAGTACTGTAAAGAGCACGAAGCGCCAGTGTGTAGGCAGGCCACGCAGCAGGCTATTCATTACACGGTGTGGGGGGGGGAGTAGTTTGCCTAATTACATCTGCTTCCCATTATGTACATACTGCCGTTATCTGCGTCCCAAATTCCTGCCATACGGCGTACCACATAGTCACGTGTAGCAGAGAGAGAGCCACACCAGTGCCCACCACCTCCGGGCCGAACCTGGAAGAGAGCCATGGCGCATTTGGCAAAGGAAAGAGAAGAGAGAAGGGGACACAGAGAGAAGAGAGGGAAGAGGAGAGAGGGAGAGGGAGAATGCGAGGTGCCACGCCACATGCACAGCCAGAGCAGGGAAGAGCGAGAGAGCCATGCACATGGCCCAAAGCGGAAAGACGACGAGAAGTGAGACGGACGATCGCGCACAGAAGACAGAGGGAGCCACGAGAGATGCCGCCGCGCCAAGGACAGAGGGAAAGAGACGACCGGCTTGCGGCGAAAGACAGAGGGGAGAGAGAGGAAGGGATCAGAGAGGGAGAGTCGCTTAAAGACGTGCGCCCCGCGAGAGCAGAGGGCAAGGAGATGACGCGCGGCGTGAAGACAGAGGAAGAGAGAGAGCATAGAGTGCAGAGAGAGACGCGCGCGAGAAGAGACGAGGCCGGGGGCCGGGCGAGGGGGGGGGAGAGCGCGAAAAAGAGAACGAGAGAGAGAGAGGGGGGAGAGCGCGCCACGCCATCTGACAGAGAGAAGGGCCACGCGGACCATTTTAGTAGTCACGCGTCGCAGCGCACATCAGCGATTATCGGATTTCGCAAATTGCATAAATACCTCGTCTATAGCCGACGTTTCCTTCTCGGCGCTGGAGCTCGCCTGCTCCGACACGGGCGGCAGGGTGGTTGACTCCACCGCGCCTCGCTGCTGCTCCGTACTGCCTGCCGCCACACTGTGCACTGTTGTCGACAGCCGCGGCGGTAGCGGCACCGTTGTCGCCGCGGCTGTACTTTGCTGGACCGCGCTGCTGGTCGAAGCAACAACTGTAGTTGGCCTGCGCGTAGTCGGGGGGTTCAAAGCGGCTTGCCGGCTCGTGGTCGTTGAGCGTACGGGGGAGATGGTAATAACGGGGGGTTGGCTCAGCGACGCCGCAGGTGTTGCCGTGACCGCGGTCGCCCGGGGCGCGGCCGTTAGGACGGCAGGCGGGGACTGCTCCCGCCAGGTGTTCACGGGCATGAGGACATGCGGCGGCGGCGGCGTTTTCTGCTGAGCGTATTCGCCAAGCAGCGGTTCAGTCCCCGTGCGTGTGGACGGTAACGCCTGCGTCTGCGTCGGAGCTCCGAGATGTTGAGATGTTGTCTCGGCCGCGTGCCCTGCGGTCGGGTGATGATGAGAGGTCGTCGACTGCGGCGTTACCTCCGCCGGTGGCATGCGCTCGCTCATTACAGAAGAGAAGCTGTGCGAGACCGTGTCCAGGGGAACGCTCGGGAACAGCGTGAAACTCATTCGGCTGCCCGTGTTTTCTGGAGCGAAACAAAACGAATTGAACGGTCGTTTTAGCAATTGACAGTCATATATATTATATATATATATATATATATACATAACTGTCAATTGTGATAATGTAAGATATATAAGATATAATACGCACACGGAAATACACACGCGCTCATATATATATATATATACACACATAATATTGTACCAGCAGGAGTTGGTATAAAGTGAATTGAATTGAATTGGTATATCCGTATAGAATACTACTGGAGAGCAATAGCCATCGTAGCCGGGGCTGACGGGCATTCTACTACGTTCACGCTCTGGTCCGTTTAGAGTTGAGTTTACGATAATAGGAGTAAAACCGCACACGCGGCAGGAACGGCCCTCCCCAATAAGCCTCATGCAGCCGTCCCCGTACCTTGAGAGATGTTTGAACGGCATTTACGTGACTATTAGCGACGAGTTATTAGGCGATAGAATTGAATACATGTACATTAAAATTGGCGGGATAGATATCGTGTTTATTTCATATCATTTCATTGTTGCAACGGCCCAAATGCCCGTCGTCTGACCGGTAGCAGCGGTGGTCACAGGCACTTGGGACAGAGTCAGTAAAAACTGAGAATAATATGAACGCACATTCACAAATACTACCCCTCAAGTACACTTCCACTGTTGTGTCACTGTATATCAACTTACTTTCACAAAAACTAATGCAGAACTAGCCACTCCCGCACTCGCCGCTTTGAGTGTGCTGTGTAGCCATACAGGCTATATTATATATATCACTACAATGGCGACACAGCACACTCGAAGCGGCGAGTGCGGGATCGGCTAGTTCTACATGAGCCTAAAATGTCATGCACTGATGTGCCGCGTTAGATAGCCCGAATATAAATTCTGCGTGGCCAGATAGATAGATATAGGCCCCTACATCGGTATTCGCTGACTGGTAAATGCATTTTTCGTGCTACATTTTCTGAGATAGTAGAAGACCAATAAACAGTCGTCCTCACGTACTGACGTCTTATAGCTTCCACGTCTATGATGCCTAGGCATAATTAAGGCTCCCATTAGGCGTTCGGCGTCCGTGGCAACTGTGCACGAGTAGCCCCCGTAAATGCCTGGCAGAGATATCGTTGCTTGATTGCGCAGCGCCATCTATCGGGTCGAAAGGGCAAAGTTTGAAACGTTAAATTACGTGATTTAGTAGATACAATAATGTAACCCAAACCCAAGAGGATAGGACCCTATCCTCTTTGGTTTGGGTTACATTATTGTATCTAGTGATTTAGAAGCTCAGGCAGCCATAGAAATAAATATGTACGACAGCATCTACGTCTAGGTGGACAGCTGCGTGACTGTCCACCGATAGCCCTCTCTCTCTCTCTGTACTAATTACAGGAATACCTACTCCGACAATGGTCAGATTACACCGTAATCTGATAAATAGAAGGACTGTGGTCGTGATCTGGATCCGGCGCAATGTCATAGTTGTGAATGAATAATACTATACCTTGGTATTTCTTGCTATCTCTTCTTGTTATTTTATTTACATCTATGCGTGATGTACTGCGTGGTAGATGAGTAGGCCCCTCCAGCGAGCTATACAAAATCCTGATCTAGTTCGTAAAGTGTTGCGTCAATGTTTCCAGTCGCCATGCAGCAACGCGTCGCGCTATCTATCCGCAACTATCTTCACGTCGACGGGAGATGCACGACAAGTCGCCGTGCGTGACGTCAGCACAGAGCGCGGTGCGTGACGTCAGAGTGCGGTGCGTGACGTCAGCTCGCCGGTGTGACGTCGCGCAGGTGGGGGAACCGCTGGTGTGAGGAGAGCTGACTAATCGACTAAGTGACGCGCTTGACTAAATGACACTAAGTGACACTAAGTGACGCGCTCCGCGCCGCGGACGCAGCACGCGGCCACGCTGCAGGGTAGGTAATGCGATGTTGTACAACAGTAAAGGGCGTCCATAGGCAGCAGGCCTGTATAAGGATCGAACAGAAATTCATTAAAAATACTCACACTGTTTCGTCGCATACACAACTGTGTCACTGATTACACTAACTTGAAAAACACTAAAATTTTATGCAGTTAGCCTATATAGCATAGGAAATTGGATACGAACACAACTTGTGTCAATGATGTGAACGATGTGTCGACTTGCAATTTGTCGGTGCAGACGAGATTGTGTAACGAGAGACGTGTAAGTATATGGACGATAGCTGGCACTAGTATCGCTACTAACTGGTCCAAGATTACAAGAAAAGGCTCGATGAGTCGATACATCATAATCGAACTTCCATGTTTTGGTGAATACGAAGGTTCTAATGCATTTTATCGTTACCCTAGACAGTTGCTGTTACTCAAGCAATAACGGTAGGTAATTAATCGGTCATACAAGTGGGGAAAACACTAGATAATTCTCGTAAATATATATATAGCCTTAAAGTGATTACGTCACCGTAAATAGTAAAAAATAAATAAATAATATTTCTACTTTTTCACAAAATATAAGTAATTCTGTTCCCTTTTTTTGAATTTTTTAACTAGTCGAGAAACAATCTTATCAGGTAAGAATTTGACGATACGTTTAGTCCCGTTAGTTCTTACTTTTAATGTAAAAAAATTGAATTTTTTTTAAACAAGTTTTACCATAGAAAATCCGTGACGTAGTCAATTTAAATGCGTTTAGTAGCTACGGGAACTGGGAGGGCCCGCAGCTACCAGGCGTGACTACAGGTGCCCACACGAACGCTGAAATATTTTTCCCGATGTGGGTTCTAGTGAGAGCATAGCAGTCAATTTTGTCAATGTGCATGGCTGTTGGGGAAGCAGAAGGCATGTATTCAAATAATGATGATGATGGCATCAGGTCTTTAATGTCATATGATGAATGTATGTATTCACTTTTGGGTGACGAATATATGTATTCAATTGTTTGTGGTGGTGAGGGCATGTATTCCGTTGTTGGTGATGGCCTGAATTCCATTATTGATGCAGAATGAGAGAGCAGATATTCCGTATGTATATAATCAGGCACCACTGATGAATACTGGTGTTCCGTTGTTGTTGGTGAGGCAAGCATGTAGTCTGTCGATGGGGATGAATATCTGTATTCTGTATATTCGTTTGGTGCCGAATAAGGCACATATTCTTCCTCTAGTGGTGAAGCCATAAGATCCCCATTACCATACACTGAGTGCATGTGCTCAATTGCTGGAGATGACGGCATGTAATCAGTTACTGATTGTGACGATGCATATTCCATCACTGATGGTGAATGTGTGTGTTCTGTTGTTACTGAGAAAGGCATATATTCCATTTCTGGCGCTGAAGGCCTCAAATCACTCGAGTTTCGTGTAGTGTTATTCACAGTGGAGTCATACTGCCAGCTCACAGCATCACCCTGAGCAGACTGCAGCGTGAGCGTGTCTTCCAGCAGCGTTGGCGTGTCACCACTACCAACATTGTCAAACGATTCGTTGTTGGCGGCCACTGGGTCTTCAATAATCGCTTCATTCTGCAGCGGGGTGATTTCGCGGGTATCACGCGTGTACCTCAAAAGCAACACATCTGAAATGCACAGTGAGAACAATCTTATTGTTTCATGCAAACAGTTTCGTAGATATTAACTCTAGATGCACTGTTACCTTTATCCATGTGTGTCGTAGTGTCGGAGCATTTGCTGTCTTGCTGTGTATAAATAAGTCGCAGTGGTACATATGTCATGATAAAATACGAAGCCATGGTGAATGATCTTCACCAGTATCACGCATTGATCGAAAAATGCGCACGAATCTCAGAATAATATCAAGAGTGAATAATAATAGATAAATAGATAGATCTATTATTATTCACTCTAGATTATATCAAGAGCTAATAATACCTTATTTACCTTATTTACCTTATTTTACCTTATATTACCTTATATTATATATCACCTTATATATCTTATATATTACCTTATATTACTTTATATATATATTACCTAACCCCTTATATATAATATAACCTTATATTACCTTATTTACCTTATTAATAATACCTTAAGGTATTATTCACTCTAGATTATATCAGCCCGTGATTTCATAGCTTCACGCCAATAACAGTAGCTACGTATACCTTCGGTGGTAGGATCCTCGGTTGATGTAGCAGTATGGTCTCTAGTTGCATTTATGGGCATCAGCCCCCAAAATCGTATCTGTTCTTTGCCAGTCGCCCGTGTAACTGCTGCGCCTGGTGTAATATAAGGAGCAGCGATATATCAGTAATTTCTACCGTGCTGTCAACACGAACGAACAAACTTATCATAGTCATGAGTATTAATTAATTAATTAGGTCATTCCTTTTAATTATATTCATTCCTTTCCTTCGTTTCGTTACCATACGCACCTTTACCAGTGTTTCTTAAAATAGCTAGCAGCTTTAGAGGAAGTATATGGCTGCATTTAGCGCTTTAGCTATAAGGACGGACAGGCGGGCGGACAGGCGGACGGACAGGCGGGCGGACAGGCGGGCGGACAGGCGGACGGACAGGCGGGCGGACAGACGTACGTGAGTGCGTGCGTGCGTGCGTATGTATGTGTGTACATTATAGCTCTTGATATTTATAGAAGCCGCGACTCGCCCCACTATAAACATTTCAACATTGATGTCTAGGAAGCCCTGACATTCAATATAGCTGCAGTTGCTATGGAGCGATACCGCAGTAAGGCGCAGAATTGCAGGGGGGCGCGCACGTAACAGCTGTAGCGCGCGTACAGATCGCACCCCGCAGAATACCTGCTATATGTTCGCTCTTCTGCCCTGTTTCGTTAAAATATAAGACCAGATATAACAAAGTAATCCAGTTTATCATCACCCTGAGCATCACTCGCTACACGTGTGTCGTGCCGCACGCAATAATTTCCACTTGATCGCGTTATAGCGCATGTAATTATAGTTCTACGTTCACCCCTGTAGCATATCGCCCCGCTGCCCAGGCCTGTGTCAGAGGGAGGGGGATACATCCACAGGCACTTGGGACAGAGTCAGTAAAAACTGAAAATAATATGAACGCACATTCACAAATAACTACCATCTCATTACATTTCCAGCTGTTGTGTCACTGTAGGCCTATATCTAACTTGCTTTCACAAAAGCTAATGCAGAAACATATAGGCCGCTGAGTGTCTGTGCGCCATTGTCCAGTGAATATAGTAATCTATAGCGGCGGCGGGAGCGGCTTGCTGCATTTAGTTTTGTGAAAGACAAGTTGATATACAGTGACAGCAACAGTGGAAGTGTAATGAGAGTAGTAGTATTGTGAATGTGCGTCATTATTATTTTCAGTTTTTAGCTGACTCTGTCCCAAGATGCCCGTGGATACATCGGTAGAGGCGAGTGCGATTCACGCGATCACGAATATAGGCACAACGATGTCTCTGCTTAAATTGCCTCGCCGCATGCGCTGGTTTGCAGTCTTCCTGTCCTGTTGTAGAACCTTCGCGCGACACGACGCTTTGTGGCGTTATAGGAAACCATGGCTAGAATTCTCACCGGTGCGCCGTGCGCCTCGTAACCGACGTCACGTGCGCACAGCGCCCACTATACAATTATTAACATGCATACTTACTACTTGAATTAAGAAACCCTGCGCGATACGGGTATCAGTTGGCATTGATCTTTCGCATTTCTTGAAGTAGCTGTTGAGCGGCGTAATAATTGCCTGCACGTGTACTGCGCTCCACCTGTCGTAACCTATTCACGCGTGCCTGCCGACTTACGGCTCGCGGCGGCCGCCGCCGCCGCCGCTCGCGCTGCCCGACTTATCGATCGAAATATTGCAATTGTTAAGAAATTTTTTAAACTGCGCATGCGGGCTGCGATGCTATATATACGGCATAATATTATACACGGCTGCTGTGTTTTCCGAGTAACTGATAATATCCGCGCTACTGGTAATAGAGGGAAGGTATAAGAATTACGCACAGGTAACACAATGTAACTCACAGGTAACCACAGGCACCGTGCAGGCGTTTCAATAAAATATAATGCTAAATATATACGAAAT